TTGGTGGGTAAGAGGCACGGCTGAGGGTATACACACAGGAGAGTAAAATAATCCCAGGTTAATGGTAGCAGAACATGCAGTCAGACTGAAAGGAGAGTCACTGGATGGCAAAAATCAGTTAGGTTATTACAGCAGTTCATGTATTAAAGAGGAAGTAAGAGGTAAGCATTAACATTAATGCCCTATATATTCTGTGTGCTTCAAAAGTCTTATCCATTTAATCCTGCCCATTTTTAGCTGAGAAAACTAAGCCTCAGAAACGTAACTTGCTGAAAGACAACCAACAACCGCCTAACTGCTGTAAAAACCGCACTGTTTCAGGGACATATGTTGTCTGAATGAAGTACTGGCAGTAGAAATAGAAAGCGAAGAACAGAAGTTGACTGACTGATAGGCACAGTTCTCCATTAACCAAGAAAATAGAGATCTCAGAAAAATCATGAAACTCCTTCACAGCTCAGCTTCCTGATCTGTAAACTAAAAAAAACTATCAAAATTATTCCTTCCATCTAAAAAAATTCTCCTGTTGCATTACAAAGACTTAATTTATCAGACTTACCATCCTCTAAGCAAACCTGCCAATTAATATCCCCTTCAACTTAATCTTCTACTCACTTTCATAGCTAAACGCAAACACAATCTCTCTAATAAATCCACTCAAGTCCACACTCATCAGTAAGAAGCGATCCCTGATTAACTGAGCCTGAGAGTAACACGTCTTATATGATTTCCTATAGAAAGTATGCCTCTCATAGGTGGGTGTTGAACAATAAGAACACATGGACACAGGGAGGGGAGCACTACACACTGGGGTCCGTTGGGGGGAAACGGGGGAGGGATGGGGGGGTGGGGAGGTGGGAAGAGATAGCATGGGGAGAAATGACAGATACAGGTGAGGGGACGGAAGGCAGCAATCCACACTGCCATGTGTGTACCTATGCAACAATCTTGCATATTCTCCACATGTACCCCAAAACCTAAAATACAATCAAAAATAAAATAAATAAAATAAATAAATAAATAAAAACTTTGAGCCCATGACAGTTACAATCCATTATTATTACTATTTACAAAAAGGTTACTAAAAAAATATTTGGAAGAGGGATTATTGCTAAAGTAAAGAAACTCTGTATTGACTGTCAATAAAAGTAAAACTGAACGTCGTATCAAAAAAAAAAAAAAGTATGTCTCTCCAAGCCATTTTGCAAACTCCTAAGCACACTGTTAACTACCATTAATTTTCTAAAACAGATTTTATTTTTAGAGTAGTTTTAGATTCATAGAAAATTCAGCGGAAGTACAGTTCCATACATCACTGCCCCACCCCACACAAAGCCTCTCCAACTATCAACATCCTACACCAGAGACGTACGTTTGTTAAAATCAATGAATCTACACTGACACATCGTTTTCATCAAGAGTCCATAGTTTACACTAGGGTTCATTCTTGGTGTTGTTCACTCTAAGTGTGTGAACAAATGTATAATGACAACTGTCCACCATTACAGCATCATACAGAATAGAATTACTGTCATAAATATCTTCCGTTTTCTGCCTACAATTCCCTCCCTACTCTCTAAACACTGGCAGCAACTGATCCATTTACCCCTTTCATACTTCACCTTTTCCACAATGTCAGATTAGCTGAACTCACACAGTATGTAGCCTCACAGATTGACATCTTTCACATCATGGTATCCATTTAAAGTCCCTTTAGTCTATTCATGGCTTTGTAGCTCATTTCTTTTAGTGCCAAATAATATTCCATTGTCTGCATGTACCACAGTTTCTTTATTCACTTACTGAAGGGCAGTCTGTAAGTTTCAGCAATTATTAATAAAGCTATTATAAACATTGTGTGTTTTGGATAGACATTAAGTTTTCAACTCATCTGGATAAATATCAAGTAGCACACCTGCTGGATTATATGAGACTGTGTTTAGTTTTAAGAAACTGCCAAATTGTCTTTCAAAGTGCCTGTACCATTTTTGCATTACCACTAGCAATAAATGAATTTCTGTTGCTCCACATCCTTGCCAGAATTTGGTGTTGTCAATGTTTTGGATTTTGACCATTATACTAGATGTGCAGTTGTAATATACCACTATATTGCACTGTTGCTTTAATTTGTAATTCACTAATGACAGACACATGACGCTGAACATTTTAATATGCTAATTTTCATTTGCATATCTTCTTTGGTAAAGTGTCTGTTCAAGTCTTTTGCCCATTATTTTAACTATGCTGTTCCTTTTCTGAGTTTTAAGAGGTCTTCATATATTTTGGCTAATAGTCCTTTATCAGATGTGTATTTTACAAATATTTTCTCCCACTCTGAGGCTTATCTTCCCATCCTCTTGAAAAGTGTCTCTTAAAGAGTAAAAAAAATTTCAACTTAATGACATCCTACTTGACAATGATTTCTTTCATAAATCATACTTTTGATGTTGTATCTAAAAAAAATCACACCATCACCCAAGATCACCGAGATTTTCTTCATTATCATTAATTTTTTAAAAAATTATTGAGTGGCATGTATATACCTGATACTCAAGATAAAGGATAAATAAAGCAAAAATACACTCAAGTATCTTAAGTCACTGCTTAAGACACTCAATCAAATAACCTTTAAGGTAGCAAACCTCAATGGGGAGAGAGCAGAGAAACAACAGCATCGTGTGGGTCATAGCACAATGTTCAAGTACAGGCTTTGGAGCAAAACTGCCTGGATTCAAATCCCAATGCTGCCACTTACAACCTGTACACTCTTATGTCTCAACTTTGTCCTCTGAAAAATGGGGAAAATATTTATGCCCACTTCATTTCATAGCACCACTATGAAGAGTAAATGACTTAACCCGTGTGAAGTGTTTAACATAGTGCCTGTCACACTGTAAGTACACAATAAAAGTTAGTACTTCCAGATTCTCCAAGAAGGAGTTGAACTGATTTGTAAAAACATTCAAATTATCGTTGCTATAAATTTTTAGTCCTGATATTTCATTTTATTTTGGAACATCAGAAGAAAATGATTAAGGGCCAAGCACAGCAGCTCATGCCTGTAATTCCAGCACTTTTGGAGGCCATGGTGGACAGATTGTTTGAGCCCAGGAGTTCGAGACCAGTCTGAACAAAATGGCAAAACTTCCATCTCTATTTATAAAATAAAAAATTATTAAAAAATTAAAAAGAAGATTATGGTATAGTTTCATTCTCATATTCTCATAATCTCATTTATTAGAAATCGATTCTGTGGTAATCTCTGATAAAGCAATGATCAAAAATTAATGAATAGATGCATGTGAAAAGTAGCAGACACCACCCAGAAGGAAAAGTGCAGCATTAAAATTTCCAGTTTAGCAGGTGGAGACTATCTGTTTTTTTTAAAATATACAAACTTCTCATTTATTACAAAACAAAGTGTATAAGTGAGACTTTCAATTCACTTAATATTTCAGTATCATATTATTGGTTTTCATTTGTGCTGATCTAACAGGAAAAAGCCTTTAAAAAATTTAAAATTATACCCAGAATTGCAAATGACTTATTTCACAGTGACTTCAGTAAGAATCTATGTCTGTGAGTGTTGGCTAACAAAAAAACCAAAGCTTAATTCTGTTTTCCTTGTCTAATTTTTAGTGTAACTAGAAAAATTATACCTTGAAGGAGTATCAAAATTATTACTGTTAAAAGTACTTAAAATAACAACTAATAACATGATATAAAAATGTACAAGTAAAAAAATTTCTTATTTTATTTCAATACAGGGTCTCGCTTTGTTGACTGGGCTGGAGTGCAGTGGTGCAGTCACTGTTCACTGCAGTCTCAACCTCCTAGGCTCAAGCAATCCTCCCACCTCAGCCTCCTGAATAGATAGTTCTACAGAAGCACCCCACCAAGCCCAGCTAATTTTTCTATTTTTTGTAGAGATGACGTTTCGCTATGTTGCCCAAGCTGGTCTTGAACTCCTGGGTTCAAGAGATCCGACCACCTCAGTCTCCCAAAGAGCTGAAATTACAGGCATAAGCCACCATGCCCAGCCAATTTCTTTATCTTAAAATGGATTAAATTATTTCAATCTGAAATTCAAAATAAATTAATTTTATTAAAATGGATTAAATTATTTCAATCTGAAATTCAAAATAAATTAATTTTACACAAAAATAAAATAATATTTTTTTTAAACTATGACGTGAAAAAAATTTTTTTTTTTTTTTTTTTTGAGACAGAATCTCTCTCTATCAACGGGCTGGAGTGCAGTGGTGCGATCTCAGTTCACTGCAACGTCCGACTCCCTGATTCAAGCTATTCTCCTGCTTTAGACTCCCGAGCAGCTGGGATTCCAGGCGCCTGCCAAGGTGCCCAGCTAATTTTTGTATTTTTTAGTAGCAACAGGGTTTCACCATGTTTGCCAGAATGGTCTCGATCTCTCCACCTCGTGATCCGCCTGCGTCGGCCTCCCAAAGTACTGGGATTACAGGTGTAAGCCACCGCATCTGGCTGATAAATTTATTCTTTAAAGACAGGGTGTTACTGTGTTGCCCAGGATAGAGTGTAGTTATAGATTATAGCTCACTGCAGACTTGAACTCCTGGGCCCAAGTTATCCTCCTACTTCAACCTCCTGAGAAGCTGGGCCTACAGGTACACATCACAGCATCCAGCTGACTTCCTCCCCGAGAGATCCCAGGATCTCACCATGTTGGTCTTGAACTCCTGGTCTCAGGAATCCTCCAGACTCAGTGCCAGCCCCCACGGCTGGGGTTACAGGAGTGAGCCATTGCTCTTGGCCTGATTTACTCATAGCCAAACAAATACACGGCAGAGTGCCTGCCTCCAATATTAGAATGGCAAATTCATGAAGCCAAGGATAACACTTTATGATTTTATACCTAAAACAATAACTTTTATAAACATGTCTGGCAAGAGTTAACTGAGTAGTGTTTCTCTTATACCGTTCAGAAAACATGTACATCTGTTTATCTCACTTTCAACGATTACCTTTAATTGTTTCCTCTACAACTTCTACCACACGATCTATCTGTTGAACCTAGAAAAAAAACACAAATGATTAGACAAGTAATTTACATAGAGAAGCAAAATTTGCATTATCCTTCTGCTTAGTCAGTGTTACACATTTTCTAAGCACATCAATGCAGGTTTCCTTTAATGTATTTAGAGATATTATTTTAAAATTATATTAATATTTTGTGTTAACAATGAAGGATGAAATTATCATCCTCCTGTCCTCTAATGATAACTGAAGAAATCATATTGCATTTAAATAAACTGCCTGGAGATGTTTTAGGATAACCTATCAGCATATATTCAACACATCCTGAGAAAGAAACAAGTTTAATTAAAATATGTCCTCACACACAGCTTCAAGAAAAAATGACAAAAAATGACAACCTACACCAAAGAACAAGCTAGTGCTAAAGAGATCTGTTCCAAACTCTATCTTTATTATTTTAATACTCAAACCCCACCCTCTCTGTTTTTGAGATGGAGTCTGGCTCTGTTGCTCAGGCTGGAGTGCAGTGGCACCATCTTGGCTCACCAAAACCTCCATCTCCCAGGTTCAAGCAATTCTCCTGCCTCAGCCTCCCGAGTAGCTGGGACTACAGGTGCGTGTCACCATACTCGGCTAAACTATTTTTGTATTTTTAGTACAGACAGGGTTTCACGGTGTTAGCCAGGATAGTCTCTATCTCCTGATCTCATGACCTGCCCACCTCAGCCTCCCAAAGTGCTGAGATTATAGGCGTGAGCCACTGAGCCCACCCTCAAAACCCTTTTAATGACTTTCTGTCATTTGCTGAGTACTGTACTTGGGTCCATGAAATACAAAGTCAAATAACACAGCTTCTGTTCTATACACCAGAGACTAGAAGATTTCCCAGGGGAACACAGAGGAAACATAATAAAATCAGACCAAGTGATCCAGCAATGCTTCCTAGAGAACCAGGGGTGACTCCTGAGGTTATGATTAAACAGGATTACGATTGGAGAAGGCCACTAAGAAGAATGAGTAAGCATGGCTAGAGTTTAAAAGGAAAATGAAAAAAGCAACGTAATGTTATGATTCACAAAGCTAAAGAAAGAAAAAAATAAGTCAAAGTTAATTCTTCTTTAAAAGTCCTTAAATTTCCATTGTTTTATTACAGAAGACAAAAACGTCAAACAAAATTGAATATAAAAGGGAAATTAGTTAAGGAAATCATAACATCTTTCATCCTGTATTTCCACTCCTCAGATGAAACCACTAGTAATACTATGATCAGCAGATACCACGACATTTTCTGGCATCAAACATATATAGGCCTGTTCTATAGTTTTATCCTTTTTTACAAATTATACAGGGTGTGTGTGTATGTGTAAATAAATATACAAAATAGATATACAAAATAGACCAAGACCAGCTGGGGCAACACAGTGAGGTCCCGGGGTCTTTGGTAGAGGTTTTACATATGTATAAAATAGATCTATGCCTTGATATTTTTGTATATATTGTCAGTTTACATAGGTCCATTTCATTCACTTTACTAGCTGCCTGCTTTCTCTCTGTATGGATGCATCATGATGTGATGCATGCATCCATACTCCTACTGATGAAAGAACTTCTGTTCTTTAATAAAGTTTAAAGAACTTTATTAAAAATATAAAGGCTGGCTGGCCACAGTGGCTCAGGCCTGTAATCCCAACACTTTGGGAGGCCTAGCGGGGCAGATCACTTGAGGTCAGGAGTTCGAGACCACTCTGGCCAACATGGTGAAACCCTATCTCTATTAAAAATATAAAAATTAGCTGGATATAGTGGTGCATGCCTTAGTCCCAGCTACTCAGAAGGCTGAGGCAGGAGAATCACTTGAACATAGGAGGTGGAGGTTGCAGTGAGCCAAGACCATGCCACTGCATTCCAGCCTGGGCAACGGAGTGAGACTCCATCTCAAAAAAAAAAAAAAAAAAAAAAAAATCATAATGGTAAGTCTCTTAAAAATAGTTCCTTGGTCTCAGCATTCTTACCGAAAACAAGGAAAGGCTTGTGAGAGCAGACTTGAACTCCATTGTACCTCTGACCACGCAGCCCAACATGAAGGCAGCAGCAACAACAATGACTGAGAAACCACAAAAGGCAATTAAATCTCAGACAACATCAGGTTTTCGGTCTCGAGCAAACCCACCTAACTGAAGATGCATCTACCTGAAAACAATGGAACCATTTGGCTCTGGTTTTATTAAGATAGCCCACGTGGCTTCCACACAGAATGTGATTGAAGAAGCCAGCAGAAGAAAGATTTCAGAAAGGAGGAAGCGACCAGCAGTGTCAAATGCTACAAAGACATAAGTATACAGACTAAAATGAACACGTTTCACTTAACAATAAGGGAATCAAACTTAGGGAATGCTATGAGTTCAGTAGCAATGAATTATCCGTAAGAAAATAGAGAGAGTTAATATAGACTACTCTTAGAAAAAAACTGGATAGAAAGGGAGGGAGAAGGAAGACTCTTGATAGCTAGAGAATACTGAATATATTGTGTTTTAGTTTAGGTTAGTATAAGTTAACTATTTCTTTTTTTTGCAGCTTGAGCGGAGAAAGGCAGTAGGCAAAGGAATTGTAGACTGAAAAGTGATGGAGCAATCATCTTCAGGAAATGGACCACGCAAAATCTAAAGCACAAACAGAGGACAAGCCAGAAAGAGAAAAGGGCCAAGTCTTCATCCCTATAAAGACAAGGTTAGGGGTAAACCATGGGAAAAGATGCTAGTACTCCTGTGGAGGTCAGGGAGGATCTAAGCAAATTCCCACGTGTTGGCCTCAATTTTTCTCTGGGAAGTAAGTAGGAAGTTCATCTGCTAAGGTTAGAATGCACATGGTAAAATAAAAACAGAATGAATGTTTACAAATACCTATTACAGACAACGAGAGCGTGCTGACTAGGAACACATACAAATCACCCAACAGTACCGGGATACTGGTTGAAATCTGAGACTATGAATTTATAAGAATGACTCCAGGTAGAGCAATACTTTTTCTCAAGTCCCAGCAGTTCTACAGTAGGAGCCAAACAGACAAACAGAATGACCCAAGGTTTGATAGTGCCACCATTTATTCGCGCACCAATTATTGAGCATCTAAATTATACCAGGATGGTTAAAAGTGAGGGACTATGTTAACTTCTCTTCCAGGGTCCACAAGGGGCGTGTTCAAAGGCAAGAATTTCCCAGTGCCATGCCTCCATCCACCTCCCCATTCAGAAACCTAGAGTTCTTTGTCTAACCTTCCCGCACGCAGGCTGGGTAGAAAGCCCAGACGACCTTCCTTTGTTTAAAAAGCCCACCAAAAGCTTCAACGGAGGAGGCTTTGATTGCAAGCCAGGCAACCAATCCTAAACCAGTGTTGAAGATCAGTGACTCCAGGGGAAGTTTGGAAAAGCTCTTCTCACTGGACGAGAACTTGAATAGGACAGGAGTAAATCCGGGGTTAAAATCCCCCTCTACTCCCTTACCTGTAAGAACTCCATCTCTGGATCCCCTCCCACAACAGCGTGGGAGCGCTCACGCTTGTGCTCACGCTTTCTCTCGTTCTCTCTCTCTCTCTCTCTTTTTCTCTCTCTCTCTCTCTCTGCCTAAGAAATCACTTTCTGCAAAGCCTTATGGGTCCAATACTTACTTAAATGAGCTCACTGCACCACGAGGGCCCTCTCCCCATTCTTGGGTAAGTGAGGCCCAAGAACCTGGGAAAACACATCCAATCCGGGAACAGTGAGTGTCTTAGGACACCCCCACAGCCCTCCTCCTGTCACCAAGTAACAAAAGGGCTGAGGAAACAACACTAACAGATTTGTGGAATGGACCGGAAAGAAAATGGAACAAGGAAAGCTGACTATGCATTTGAGATGAGACGAAGTTTGGCAAATAGGTTAGAGAGGGAGAGAAGTTGAGCCAGAAAAGAAGAAATGAAGTGGCTAGGTGTTAGAGAAAGAAAAAAAAATGAAGGGGGGAAAAGGGAAGGAGAAAAGAAAGAGGACAGAAAGTTGTAGCCAGTGTACAGATACACGGATTTAGTATTTCTGAAGAAGAGCAAGGCAATGGGAAATCTGGCAATGTGAATAGGTTGCTAAAACAAGGTGTAAGTGAAGACCACTAGAACTGACTTCTGATGCAGTGAAAGGTAACAATGTTACCAAGACATTATATCCAGACACTCAGATTGCCAAGGATGACAGAGTCATGAATAGGGTAAGAAACAGTTGGCCAAATTTCCTAGAGAATGTGGATTAATGACCAAGATACAATTAAGGATAGAAGACAGACAGTAAAATGAATAAAACATAAGGTAATTCAATGATGACACCAGAATAAAATATTTTCCTATGCAGTTAAAAATATAAAAGCTGCTCAAAAGGAGCACTGCATCCACTCTTGTAGCACATGGAATGAACAAGAAGCTGTATTTCTAGCCGGGCGCGGTGGCTCACGCCTGTAATCCCAGCACTTTGGGAGGCCGAGGTGGGTGGATCACGAGGTCGAGAGATCGAGACCATCCTGGTCAACATGGTGAAATCCCGTCTCTACTAAAAATACAAAAAATTAGCTGGGCATGGTGGCGCCTGCCTGTAATCCCAGCTACTCAGGAGGCTGAGGTGGGAGAATTGCCTGAACCCAGGAGGCGGAGGTTGCGGTGAGCCGAGATGGCGCCATTGCACTCCAGCCTGGGTAGCAAGAGCGAAACTCCGTCTCAAAAAAAAAATTAAATTAAATTAAATTAAAAAATGAAGAAGCTGTATTTCTAGATCACAGTCAGAACATGCAGACAGGGCAGTCTGTTAAAAAGTTGAAGAGAAGCTGGCCAGGTGCAGTGGCTCATGTCTGTAAACCCAGCACTATGGGAGGCCGAGGCGGGCGGATCACAAGGTCAGGAGTTCAAGAACATCCTGGCCAACATGGCGAAACCCGTCTCTACTAAAAATACCAAAATTATTGGGTGTGATGGCACGCGCCTATAGTCCCAGCTACTCAGGAGGCTGAGGCAGGAAAATCACT